TACCCATCATGGGTGGTGGGCGGGTGGTGGATTGAAAAATATTAGGTGGGTATGGAGATGGGGGAGGGGGTATCCGCATCCGACCCACCCGTTTGCCATCCCTACAAAGGGCCTTGACATGCCAACTCCAAATACTTGAGACATACAGATGCATTTACATCATATGCTTAACCAAACATTGTCACGGATATGCTAATACTACATTTTTTCTTTCTATATCGTAAGAGAAAGCAAACTTATTGTTTGTGAATCTTTGTATTAAAAGGAACACTTGTATCAGCACGAAAATGGGCTTTGACCAAAAGTACATCCAATTGCACACATCAACTGGCATTGATGAAACTGTTTTATGTTCTATACACCCTCTAAAGGAGATAAACAATGTCATTTGTTACTCTAAATCATAGTTACATAAATCGCTAGAGTTCCCACGATCTACGTATTGTACGCTCCGATCCAAAACGCGGTACGAACGCGTTCTGGGTCGTTCCAAAATCGCGATTCGGTACGAAAGCTTCTACAATCCAAAGTTGACCATCCAATCGACCCAATTGATGTTCAAATCGCGATTTGAAGCTATCGATTCACCGTTCTAGAGAGAAGAGAAAACAGAAAGGATAAATGAAGGATCTCACTGGACTCCAATTTGGTTGCCGCACTGGCCACCTTGAATATGAAGTATCTCACGCATCTTCGATTATGGAGAGAAGAGAAACCAGAAAGGAGAAATGAAGGGATTTAGAGAGAGAGAGAGATGGCAAAATAAGAGATAAATTGAAAATGGAAGTGGAAAGACGAAGAACCTGGTTTGTTTTTTAGTATAAAAGTAACTTTTATGTTAAAACTATATTTTATTAGATTGAATTTTGTTTTTATTATTATTATTATTATGTAAAACGATCCAAGTCACGTAATTAAGAGTTTGTGTCGGTTGAGCTTTTGTTTTTTATTTCTTTTCCTACTTTGTTTTATTAGTTTTATCATGTCTTTTAAAGTTTCAAGTTTATTCATGACTTTATGAGTTTAGGTAATTTGTTTTGAACTTTGAACTATTGAAGTTACTGAATGAAATCTATAGTATTGAAGTTACTCTAAGATATTTGAAGTCTTGAAGTTACTTATAAAATTTGATGTAGAAAAATAGCAACCTAAGAAACTGGTACATCGTACCAGAGCGATCCGAAATGAGTCTACCCTATCGTACTGAATTTTAGGGACCTAGCGAATTGCGATTTCGTTTCACGTTCCCGTACCTGAGCGTACCACGATCCATGTGACTATGCTCTAAACATTAGGTAGCCATTGTCATTGTGGTCAATCATTTAAAAGAAGACATCTTTGTATCTTCAACTTGTAAGGCAAAGCCTAAAATCTTAGAATCCCCAACTTATAAGGCAAAGCACAAAATATAATTATTCCATGCAAATGGTTGACAACATGCTGCAACCCAGAGGCCATTTGGAAGAAAAGAAAATACCACGCTGAAAAATGCTAAGCTAGGAAAAATCGCCCTAGCTCCAAAGACTATTTTTTGGATATATCATTAATATCTTTTCATTAGGTATAGTTTCAGAAGCTGATAAATGCCATCAAGGGAGTGTTCAATCTTCCTCAATTTTTTCAAAAATTCGAATGGTCATACCCTTCTATTCATTCTCATCTAAGGTATCTAATTTCTTACCAAAACAAGTTCACTAAAAGTGTGTGCGTTATGTTGTTAACATGAGGTAAATACAAGGTAGTATATGTTCAAAGATAACTCCCAACCAATTGACATTGACTTCTTGTACCCTGGCATTCCTGGTGCTCGAACTAGGAAGCTCAAAGAATATCAACAATTACTTTATCACCGAGGCTAGGGTTCGGGCCATCACGCTAATTTTTAAATTGCAAGCAATAACACTAACACATACAATTATATGGAAATGAAACAGATAAAGGTTCAATATTTCCACTAGTACACTTCAAGAAGCTATTATCTTTGTTTATCAACTCAAATAAAAACTCCGATTCTCGTAACGATAACTAAATCAAAATAAAAGACTAATGTTTGTTGCTCAATTTTTTTTAAAGAAAAAAGGCTGCGTAAGAAAAATTTAAAAAGAGTACTAACCAATGAGCGAAGAATTCGACAATAGCATAAGTGGCAGGAGTGTCCCTGAGAACTGCATCGAAATTCGTGGCGTTCAATTCAACTGCGTAGTCCTTCAGATCAGTAGCGCCGCTGTCGTTATCACCAATCGCACGAAGTAGGGCCCACGATCCCGGTTGCAACGACGATGCTTTTAAGATCCAAAGGTTCAAAATCAGAATCCAGTATACCTGAGACATAGGGGAGTATATTTAATTTCCTATCCCAGCTTCGCCGGAACAAAAATAAAAATGTTTTCTTTTTTAGTTTCTGTGGAGTATTATTGTCTTCTAGAATTTAATAGAAACAGAATAAAAAAAGATCTCTTTCAGTTAGGTGTTATGGGGGCAGGAAGATGAAGTGGCGGTGGGTGGATGGAAATTTCCCATGGAAGGCTCACTCTTTCCTTCTCCATAATTGGTACGACTTCTACGTGTGTTTGGTTCAAGGATTGTGGGATTTTCAAGGGATATAACTAAGCGGTAGAGTGTCACCTTCACGTGGTGAAAGTCATCAGTTTGAACCTGATTATCCCTAAACCCAATGTGAGTTTTTCTATTTTGCCTTGCTCCCCCGCCGTGATCGAATAAGAATGGATAAGAGGCTCGTGGGATTGACGTGAGAGGGTAGAGATGGCTATATTTCTGGGGAGCGCTAACTCCAGGCGAATCTCATGTTTAGTTAGTCAGGAATCTCATTCCCGGTAATGTTTTATTACCAATAGTAGATTTTTTGGGGTATATTACCTGGAATGTCATTACATTCATTCCCTTAGGTATTGTAACATTACCGGCGTTTTGGACTAAAATGCCCTTAATTTTTTATTTTTTTTCAAAAATATAATTTTTTTGTCATTGAATAATAAAAATTCTACGAATGTTAAATTACAAATTTATCCTTAAATTATTTGAGATTTACAAAAAAAAAGTTTATAATTAAAATTTTATATGAAGTTCAGGGGTTAAAAAAAATTTACCCTTTCATTAAACATTTTTTATATTTTTAATTTTGTAAAAAAAATTATATAAATATTATGAATTTAATTTTTTAAAGAAAATATATAAATATTTTACAATTTGTAATATTATACAAATATATAATAAGGACAATTTGGTCAAATATACATTCCAATAATCTTTTATTCCTTTAACCAAACACGGTAATCTTACATTCCTGTTAAACCAACCAAACACAAAATACAATATTTCCAGTAATCCTATTCTCTGGTAATCTTTTATTCTCACTGGTAATCTTACATTCCGTGAACCAAACGCACCCTATGAGTAGGGATAGATAAAGAATTTTACGTAAAATACAAAATCAGATCATTAATAGAAAAATAGAAAAAAATATGTTTAAGCTATATAAAAATTTAAAATGTTTAAAAATGCAATATCACTCTTAAATTTCTAATAATTTTAATATAACTTTGTAGAGTTGTCTCTTTACATAAAATCTAGGTATAGGCAACTATGTTTTTTTTTATAGCATATAAAATACTACAAGATCAAAATGATAAATTTGGGCATGAATCTAAAGTGTGGCGTTGAAAGTTGTGCAGGATGTTGCATGGGAATGGTTCGGGAGGTGGCTGGCCGCTGCAAACCTATTGTATTTCTCCATCAATATGTTATGCTTTTTGATCCCACAATTCCTCCCTCGTGCATTCCAGAGCTATTTCAGGGACACTGATGAGCTTCATCGGAAGACGTCAGAGGATAAGCGTGCCACTGCACCGGCAAACAGGATTCGACCGACGATAGATAGGAAACTGGATTGACTCCCTTTGATCCTCTCGCATTATCGTCTGTTGCCGGTTCAATGTGTTGAAAAACAGTTGATATTGAGAACAAAGTAATATTTCCATTTTCTTAGTAGATATTTGGGGTTAAAAGCAGACAGAACGAGTTCGAATTAATTCCCGTTTATCTACTTCTATCCACGTGGGGGGAAAGAAACGCCGTCTCTTCGAGATCGAACATCAATTGCAACGATTCGACAGAACGGAGTAAATAAAACGAAGGGAAATGAAAGTAGTAAAGCAGGGAAATGGGAGTTTGTTGAAAGATGAATTGCTTGTTACCGTTGATTTTTACTTCTCTCGTTGGCTTTGTTATTATTATATGATATTTCATAACCCGTCACGTGTAATAAAGAACATGTGGATATAATTCCTAACCACTAAACCAAACTAAGCTTTTGTTATAATGTTGAAAAAATAATATTTAATTTAGATTATAGTTGAAATTATTTTCATTTTTTTATAAAAATATATCAATTATTATATAAATTATCATTATAGTCAAATTGAGTTTTCTAGATTACACAAGTTCGAGTTTAGATTCGAATTTAAGATGAAAAATATTTGACTCAACCTGAAAAATAATATTTTTATATATTTTGAGACAATTACACTAATATATTTTTATATATTATTTTTTCAATTTATTCTCTATTTAATCAAATAAAATTAAAAATTATATATATATTTATGTCAAATCAAGTATAGTATAGGTTTTATATCAAAATACGAGTCGAACTTTAAGTTAAATAAAATCATCTTAAACATAAATTGAAATAAATTTTAATAAATAATATACTATTATTATATTAAATCGAACTGACTGAAAAATACACTATACAGATGAGTCATGAAAGAAATTTTTGTTTTATCAGTTAAGCAACACGTAGGCAACAACAGTCCACGTGTAAGAAAGGTAGCACATCATATCACTACGATTAAACCCACAACCAAATACACCGTTCTTCAACAATTTCATAATGTTCTCTCTGTAGTTCAACTGCAAAATCTTCTCCGTTTCTCAAAATTTCATAATTTAGTAAATTTCATGTCAGTCTGCGTTTTACTTTGAACAACAAACACAGAGCACAAATGTCTGGTGTATCTCTTGCGGTGGCTCCTAGGAGCGAGCCAGATCGAACCGTGGCACCCGGCGGCGAAAAAACCGACCACCAAAAATTTCGCCACCACCTGCAGCAGCAGCAACAACTAGCGGTGAGTGGTGTAATGGGGTCGTTGCGTTTGATCGAACTCCAATTAGTAGCTTTCATTATGGTTTTCTCTGTCAGCGGCCTAGTGCCGCTCCTCGATTTAGTCTTCCCGGCTTTCATCTCCGTATACCTCATCGCCCTTTCCCGCTTCGCCTTCCCGTCCTTCGGCCGATTATCCACCGACGGCTCGCAAGAGATTTTCAATGGCAGCAAAATGTTTAAGCTTTATGTGATTCTGGGAACCACCATAGGGCTTCTGTTGCCGTTGGCCTACGTCTTGGGTGGGTTTGCGAGGGCCGACGAGAACGCCGTTCGATCGGCGACACGTCACTTGTTCTTGCTTTCATTTCAAATACTAACGGAAAATGTAATAAGTGGGCTGTCGTTGTTTTCGCCACCGGTGAGAGCACTGGTGCCATTGCTATATACTGGTAGGAGAATCTTTGTTATACTTGACTGGGTGCAGGATGCTTGGCTCAACAAAACTCTGCCGAAGAATGCACCATCCAAGGTAAACGCTTTAAACCAAAATTTCATCCTTTACTTCTACATAAGTCTAAGGAACAAATTTGTCGACTTGAGCAGGATGGAGATAGAACTTATGTTAGGGCTGCAATTTCAGAAATTATATTAAAAATTTAGGGATATGGACAAATATAGATTTTTATGTAAAAGAATTGTAAACTTAATAAATTATATTAATAATTTAGGGATATTATATTAATAATTTAGGGATATGGTCAACAGTTGGTCGGGATGAAATACTAGATCCCTTGAGTAAGGTCATGAGTTCGAATCTTGAAGTTTACGAATGGAATAAATGGGGGTGTGAGAGTCGTCATTGTCTCTGTAGTATTTGATCTGGATTAATCGATTAATAAATTGAAAACTAGTGGTTATACTATAAAAAATTCGTCCTTGTCTCTGTAGTATCTGATCTAGATTAATTAATTAATAAATCGAAAACTAGTGGTTATACTAAAAAAATTAGGGATATGAACAGACAAAAAAATTTATGTTCTTAGTGTAAACTTAAGAAATATTATTAAAAATTTAGATATAGGGACATAGGTAGAATTTTCTGTAAAAATACAGATTTAAGAAATTATATTAATAATTTAGGGACATGAGCAGATGAAAAATTTTATGTTAGGAATTTAAATTTAAAAAATTATATTAAAAGATTAAGAGTAGGGATAGATGAAGAATTTTACGTAAAGTACAAAATCATATCATTAAAAGAAAAATAGAAAAAAATATGTTTAAGCTATATGAAAATTTAAAATGTTTAAAAATACAATATCACTCTTAAATTTCTAATAATTTTAATATAACTTTGTAGATTTGTCTCTTTACATAAAATCTAGGTATAGGCAACTATGTTTTTTTTTTGTATTTTATAGCATAGAAAATACTACAAGATCAAAATGATAAATTTGGGCATGAATCTAAAGTGTGACGTTGAAATTTGTGTAGGATGTTGCATGGGAATGGTTAGGGAGGTGGCTGGCCGCTGCAAACCTATTGTATTTCTCCATCAATATGTTATGCTTTTTGATCCCACAATTCCTCCCTCGTGCATTCGAGAGCTATTTCAGGGACACAGATGAGCTTCATAGGAAGATGTCAGAGGATAAGCGTGCCACTTCACCGGCAAACAGGATTCGACCGACGATAGATAGGAAACTGGATTGAATCCCTTTGATCCTCTCGCATTATCGTCTGTTGCCGGTTCAATGCGTTGCAAAACAGTTGGTATTGAGAACAAAGTAATATTTCCATTTTCTTAGTAGATATTTGGGGTTAAAAACAGACAGAACGAGTTCGAATTAATTCTCGTTTATTTACTTCTATCCATGTGAGGGAAAGAAACGACGTCTCTTTGGGATCGAACATCAATTGCAAGGATTCGATAGAACGGAGTAAATAAAACGAAGGGAAATGAAAGCAGTAAAGCAGGGAAATGGGAGTTTGTTGAAAGATGAATTGCTTGTTACCGTTGATTTTTACTTCTCTCGTTGGCTTTGTTATTATTATATGATATTTCATAACCCGTCACGTGTAATAAAGAGCATGTGGATATAATTCCTAACCACTAAACCAAACTAAGCTTTTATTATAGGTATTTTTCTCGAAAAATCATCGGTGATCGGTATATTTATCGATCTAACACCGGTCAGATTATATTTTTTGATCTAACACCCGTAGCAGTAAAGCGTGCCTCCTGTCCCGTGTTATATGCTGATTTGGCGTCACGTTGGGTATAGCGTGCTCCCTGTACCGCGCTATACACTGACATGGGTTACACGTGTGTATAGCGCGCCCCCTGATCCGCGCTATAAGCCACGTAGGGGTATAATGCGGATCAGGGGTCGCGCTATACCTGGTTATCTGACACGTGGGGTATAACGCGGTACATGGGGCACACTATACCTTTAATTACCCACCCGTTTACACCATAATCCTCCCTATAAATACCTCAATTCTCAATCACTTTCATCACACCAAATTCTATCAAATTTTCTTAATTTCTTTCAAATACTCTATCTGTTTAAGGTATATTTTATAATATTTTTAATATTATGTATTTAATTTATTTAAGTATTTTACTTTATTTAATATTTTACTAATATAATTTTTTTGCAGATATATAATGGAAGACAGTCTACTTCGCTTTGATGGAAATCATATATCTCGACACTTTGTTGATACGGTAACATTTTAACGTTTTAATTTAATTTAAATTATTAGTAATAATTAGTTGATTTATTTAATGCATGGTTATTTAAGAATTAATTTTTGTAATTATTTATTTTTAGGAGAAAGACCGTGTATTAGATCCTTTTATTACGAATATTAAGTTAGTGATACCTATTCGTGTATTGTCGTATTTAGTAGAGGCTGGATTTGGTTACATAGGTAGATATCAGGGTCTTGTAAAATAGAACCAGACCTTATTTCTGCCTTAGTAGAGCGGTGGAGGCCGGAGACCCACACATTCCATCTTCCGTGCGGAGAGTGCATGATCACGCTTGAGGATGTTTCTATGCACCTGGGGCTTCCGGTGGATGGAGATGTGATATCAGGGATAGCATCCGATTCTTGGATTACTTTGTGCCGGGAAAATCTAGGACGTGTCCCAAAACGTTTTATCGGATGTAGGATACCGTTAAATTGGTTAGATGCTAATTTTCGGGAGTTGAGTGCAGACGCCTTTGAGGATGAGGTTAAGATGTATGCACGGGCATGCATATTGCAGTTGATATGAGGGTTGCTGATGCCGGACAAATCGCGCAACCTAGTTCACTGCATGTGGTTGCGACATCTTAGCGACTTTCGTCTCGCCGGATCATTCGTCGGACTGCATGATGGTTCCTCTATACACTCTACATTTAGGTCGAATAACCTACTACTTGCATGACTTCCCTTTGAAATAGAAGGCATATCGACATTGAGATCGAAAAAGCTCGCAGTCAAATGCCTCCCCTGGAGCTTGAAGCCATCGTGTCAAATGAAAACTGCACAGATTGTTGCGTCGATGACATCTCTATATTAAGGTTAAAGAAATTTGCAGATGGATGTCTTCCCCTTGAACTGGACGCGATGTTGCCATACGGATTGTTCGTAGACTCACCTCGGTACATATCATAAGGAGTTGCGGATGAATGTTTCCCCATTATGGCATTAAAATCATTACACATTACTGTAGTCGGGCTGTCAACTTGATCAACTTGTTCAGCCAGCCCATAGTGGGAGCTTAATAATTGACCCCGAACAGCACACACTTGAACAAAATGTGCATACATCTCAATAGCGACTTCTGAATAATTACTTTGAGCTTCAACCATTATTTGAACATCATCATTGTTCGAAAGTTCGAACAATGTATAAGTTAATGGCAACAATGATGTTGGAAATCTGTACTGCAACGACGACATTCTTCTATTATTTCCAACATGAATCTTCCTCGAAATCTTCGTTATTAGCTCCTCAAGAGTTATGTTTCTCTTGAATGATATTTTAACACGCTCATTTGATACGAAAACAAAGCCGGTTTCATCTTCTCGAATTTCACCATCATAATAAATAATTGTTGAAAGTCGCGCCATTCTTTGAGTTCAAAAGTGCGGTAATATTATATCTGCAAAAAAAATAACTGAAACAAACATGATTAAATAAATTATATATGAACGAAAATATAACACAATAAATTTTTTACACATCAATGTAAATAATTTAAATAATATAATATTATATTATTACCTGCACCGCAAAACTATTTCGACGTATGCTCCCGCTTTTCAATTTTACAAACATAAAAATTAATTGAAAATAATTAGTATAATATTTTTTCAAATAATGATAATAAACAATAAGTATAATTAAAAAATTATAACAAAATTACCTTATAACGAAAAATCGTACGAACTTCTAAATTAAATATGAGAAAATTGCTTGAATTATTACTCGTTGACAGAATTGTTGTATTAATTTATAAGTTGAGAGAAGAGATGTCAGGAGATGTGAGAAACTTAATCGACATAAGAGGGTATTTATAACCATATAAGGCGCAGTACCTACACCGCGCATATGCAATTATTCAGATATAGTGCGGACCAGGGACCGCGTTAAATATAATTCCAGTAGGCGTATAGCACGGATCAAGGGGCGCGCTATACACACGTGTAACCCATGTCAACGTATAGCGCGGTACAGGGGCGCGCTATACCCACGTGACGCTAAATCAACATATAACGCGGGGCAGAGGCGCGCTTTACTGCTACGAGTGTTAGATCAAAAAATATAATCTGACCGATGTTAAATCGGTAAATATACCAATCACCGATAATTTTTTGAAAAAACACCTTTGTTATAATGTTGAAAAATAATATTTAATTTAGATTATAGTTGAAATTATTTTCTTTTTTTTATAAAAAAATATCAATCATTATATAAATTATCATTATAGTTAACCCTATTATAGATACTAATTATTATTTAAAAGAGAATATTTTAATAATTTTACCAAACGATAGTACAGATAAATGCAGAGTAAAGATATACATGAAAGAAAGAGATCCGGAATGGTCCATGGTCCATCTATGTAACCTAGTTTCATAAAAATTCCTACTTTAATCACCTGCTCTGCTGCAACCCTTTCTTGAAACCAAACCATGAAGCTCAAAAACAAAGGTAAAGTATACCCTACGCCTTCTCCTTCTTCCTCCTCCGGCCAAGACCATCTTTCCATTTTAAACCTTCTTCCCCCCGCCAGTTTACTTCTTATTTCTGTTCTTTCTCTCGACGACCGAGAAGTTCTGGCTTACATGATTACAAGGTCCCTCAAAACCACCACCAACAACAACAACCATTCTTTTATCTCTCGAGATTCTTCTTCCAAGAAAGGATCTTCCAAGAAACACCCAACACCGCCACCCGCCGCCGCCACCAAGTCGGCCCACAAGCCGCCGGTTTTCGATTGCGATTGCTTCGACTGTTACACCAGTTACTGGTTCCGGTGGGACTCTTCTCCCAACCGTGAGCTTATCCATCAAGCTATTGAATCTTTCGAAGAGCATTTAACCAATGGGGAATCCCCGAAACCTTCCAAGAAAAGTGCGCGGCTCAAAAGAAGGTATACCAACAGCGAAACAGTCACTCGAATCCCCGATAGCCCGGTCGTTGCTCTTCCGGGTCGGTCCGAACAAGAAGTTCCTGACTCGAAGGGTTCCGTCGAGGGAGCGCCGATTATCACCGATGACGTCATTTCTACGGAGAAGAATGTTGGAGAAGAGTCAGCTGAAGTAGTGGAAATGACCGAAGATTTTCCAGTGCCGGAAGAAGCTGACGTTGAGGTACGAACGCCACCGACGATCAGCAACCACAATGGTCTGGTCAGGAAAGTATTACCGGACATATTAGGATTGTTCAATTCTCGTTTATGGGGCCTTTTGAATCCAAATGTGTAATTTTCTATTTTTTCTTAGAACATTTCGAGACCTTAAAAATGAGAAAAAATATTATTAATATTTGGGTGGGAAAATCGATAGGGTCTGCTGAAGCCCCCTTTCTCGTGAGCTTAACCCAAGCTTTAACACGCCACATTATTTATTTTTTGACCGATCGAACTTGATAAAATTTATTTGCGTAAAATAAATCATATAAAATATATTATTTCACTAAAATTTCGTTACAATTAAAAACCAAACGTTGATGAAATATTGTATACAAATGATTTTAATCTTTACAAATTATATATTCTATTTATTTTATTTTGAAATAATTTGGTAAGTTTATTTTTTATATATATATTTTTATAATAATTTAATTATTATTTTCTCAAATTTCTTGTTATTTATCGCTCATTGCTTTATTATTTAAATATTTTTATAAAAATAGCATGATAATGTTAAAAAATATTATAATATTTAATTAAATAGTTATTTTAACAGTTATTTTTTGAGTATTTTGATCTAATATTTTATTTTAGGAAAAATACCCTTTTATATATGGAAATTTATAATTAACAAAAGCTTAACACTTTAAAATAAATATTTTTATTTTAAAATGAAATATTAAAAGTCTAAATGTTTTAGAATATAAAAATAAAGGACACCAATAATTATCCTATCAAACATTAGAATTATATTTTTGTCGTAAAATAAAACGTTAAAAGTTAAATTACTTTGAAAAAATAAATACTAAAATAAATTTTTTATAAATGTTATAAATTAATGTTAATATTAAGTCAAATAAGATTCTCTAAATATTATTTACAAAAATAATATCCATTTATATTGTGCACAATAAAGGTATACGTTGCTAATTATGTTTTTCAAAAGATCTATATTAAAGGCGTGATTAATCAAATATATCTTTTTGAAGTTTTAAAATCAAAATTTAAAATCAATATGGTAAAAAAATTATCTTAATTTACAAAAATTATCATAAAATTTCAAAAATTGTATCACCGATGTTCTCTACGAGAATGAATTTCATAATAGTGTCGTTGACACGCAATATTTTCCCATACTAATCATTCTTCAATAGGAATTTCATTGTCACTTGTTCCAATATTGTCGACAATATCTCTAACATTGACAATATTACCATGTGTTGATCGAACAAGTTTATTCATTGACTCATCTCATTCACAATGATGGATGGCTTGTGAAAAATAACGATTGAAGATGTGCTTAATTAATAATCTCACAGTTAAAGGTAAACAATAAAAATCTAGAATGCCATCGATGGATGTAACATTATTAGTTAGATTGAATATGGTGATAATGGTAAAGCATCACTAGTTAATAATGATGGAGATAAAGAAAATATTAGATTTGATAGTGTTGATGACATATACTAACATTGTTTCGGGCTTGAGAGAGGTGGGACAATGTTCGGTGAATATTGCATATGCATAGATTAACTAAACATTGGTGGCATTGACGATGTCTATTGTGATGATCTGAGTGTTGCTGATGATGATGAGCCGAAACGATTCGCTTTTCCCTGAATAGCTAGGGGACGATGTTGTTGCATCGATAGATACGTTTTCTTAGTGAATAGATCCGACTCTTACTCATTTTACAATAGATGTGTTTTCATAAGGTATAAACCATGATATGTAATCCCTCAAAATTACCATATCATGATTCAATAAGTTTGCGATCAAGCATCCAACCATGACATTGGTCAATTTTATGTTCTTTGTCCAGTTTAGTAGTTGATCCGAAAATGGACTATATGGAATACTCTAGATTTTGAGTCGATGAGTATAAGTCGACTTGAGAAATCTATGGACCAAATCGTTGGAGGCATTAGAGTGCTTGGGCCAAGTTCAGGCTTGATTGGATGAGAAGGAGCCCAAATAGCTTAAAAGGGTTTTTTTGAATTGGGAGCAAAGGAGGAGGGACCGATATTGAATTTTACCCTTTAGAGTTCAAAAGGCCGAATATCATTCAATTTGCATATGCAATTAAAACCAAGGAAAAGATGAACATTTCCATCCCTCTCTTCTCCTCCCTTATCTTATTGTCCTCTTCATCTTTCTCTATTCTCTCAAGTGGATAGAACATCAACGGAGCAAATTTTATTGTCTAACTTTCCTAATCTAGATTTGTGAAGGTGGGTGCTGAAGTCTATTCCCCTGTAGCTTCAATTCAAGCTCTTTTTCCCCATAGTTAGCCATGGCAGGGGTTTAGAGAATATAACCATCGTAAAAACGACAATAAAATTCAATGATTAAAATGATCAATTAATAAAATTAAAAGGTCAAAAAGTTATTCTGCTAAAAAAAATGAAGTACTATTACTTAAATAAAAATATTTTAAGCACACATGGATCATGGATGAACACAAAGGGTAAGAGGTGATTTTAATGGAAGTTATGCAGTACGATAGTCTTAATATGCGATTAAAGAAATACGATATCAAAAATATTATTATGTTTTTAATATTTTTAATAAAAATTACTTAAAATATTATTTTTTTTAAATAATTTTTTACCAAAAATATTAAAAAATAATAATAATATTTTCATTAACATATTTTTTTAATCATATATTATGCTGCCACATTAGACTTCCCGATATTAAGAAGGCATAGAGATAGTAAAAAAGGTGGGATTGACCCATTGAAGGGAGTTGGATTATCCAACGTACATGGACATGTTCCGGCTCCCATCCTTTAACTGATTTATACAGAGAAAACAACAAATGGAAAATTGTTAAATTTCATTGGTCGCTGATCACATTATATGAGACGGATTGATATACAGTTAAAATAAATGACGTGTCTGGTTAAATAAATGACTGATTAAATAAATTGTTATTAGAAATGTTATTTGTGTTGGTAATAATAATGATAATAACCGATAATATTATCGTCGTATGTAAAATGTACCAAAAAAATATTGACTTTAATATAATCAATTAATTACTCGAAACATTATCAACCATAATAACATAATAGAGAGCGCTTATATAATGTAATATGTGACTCCTTTTTAAAGCTGATGGAGTCTTAGAAATACGATGATAACAAAATAGTTTAATTATTTGATTTGTTATCAATTTTATCAACATATTAGGTAGCGCCTAAAATGTTACTAAAGTTTAAGCTGATGGAGTCTTAAAAATCCGACGATAACAAAATAAGTTAATTACTTGGAATATTATCAACCATAATAACATAACAAGTAACACTTATTTAATGTAATAAGTAACGCATGTTTAAAGCTGATGGGCCTTAGAAATCTGATGATAACAAAATATGTTAATTAATTGATTTGTTATCAATATTATCAACATATTAGGTAGCGCCTAAAATGTTACCAAAGTTTAAGTTGATGGAGCCTTAGAAATCAGACGATAACAAAATATGTTAATTACTATAAACATTATCAACCATAATAACGTAACAAGTAACGCTTATTTAATGTAATAAGTAATGCTTGTTTAAAGTTGATGGAGCCTTAGAATTCGACGATAACAAAATATGATAATTACTTGATTTGTTATGAATATTATCAACATATTAGGTAGCGTCTAAAATATTACCAAAGTTTAAGTTGATGGAGCCTTAGAAATCTGACGATAACAAAATATGTTAATTACTTGATTTGTTTTCAATATTATCAATATATTACAGTGTACATTATTAATTTACCTATTACTTTAAAATAATAGGTTTCGAAATTTCACGTATCGATACTTGATGTTTATGCCTATTATCATTATACCGGTAGACTTTGATTGTTTTTATTGTTAATTAACCTATTAATTTAAACTAACATGTTTCGAAATTATAAGTTTCGAAATTATAAGTATCAATACTTTATATATGTGTATCAATACGTTTTGCGTGCAAATTATTTGAGAAGCATACTGAAATAAAAGTATCGATACCGATATAAAATGTATCGATACTTATAATTTATGCCTATTATCATTATACCAGTAGACTTTTACCATTTACATTGTAAATTTAACTATTATTTTAAAGTAATAGGTTTCGAAATTACCAGTATCGATACTTTATATATGTATATCGATACTTTATAGGCGCTATTGTTCATTTAATTCCTACAGTACTGATACTTTGGTACGCATACTTATAAAAATATCGATATTGTCAACAATTTCAGTATCTCTTTACCGATTCTGTTAAATTGAAACCGATTTTGTCAAATTTCAACATGTTATATTGTCATGTATCGATACATGTGTATAAGGTATCAATACTATTTAGCCGCTGTTATTGCAATTCTTTTAAAATTCTACAGTATATATACTTTGATACACATACTTATAAAAGTATCGATACTGTCAACAATTCCAGTAGCTCTTTACTGGTTTTGTCAAATTTAAACCGGTTTTGCCAATTACCAATCAATTTTGTCAAATTCGTTACCTCTTTTGTCAATTTGAAACCGGATTTGTCAAATTTCAACTTGGATATTATCATGTATCGATACATGTGTGTAAGGTACTAATACTTTATAGGCGCTTTTATTGCAATTCTTTTAAGAGAAAATAACCTCAGTGACCTAAAATCCCATATAATATACGATTTTAACCAACTTTTTCCGGATTTGCCAAAATGACCAACAAAATCGCAATGCGATCGCTAATTCGCAACGCGCTCCATTATCGCAAATTAGTTTCCAGATTCGTAACGCGATTATGACTATCGCAATGCGATTTTCCAATTTCGCGTTGCAATTTTCCCAATTCGCAATGCGAATAAGTAAATCGCAATGCGAATTTTGAAAATCGCAATGCGAATTTTGAAAATCGCAATGCGAATTTGGAAAATCGCAACGCGATACTAACTTTCGCAACTCGATACTTAATTTCGCAACGCAATACTGACTTTCGCAACGAGATAATACATAATCGCAATGCGATTTTCAAAGCGCCATTAGTATCGCAAAGCGTATTTTATTTTCAAATTCCAAACACGAATATTAATATATTAGAACACTGAACCGTCCACAG